AGATCAGGTAAGTGCTAAACCTGTCCCTGGAGAGTTTCTCCTGGTGGAATATACTAGGCTGATAAGTAAGACTGTGAATTCAGCAACTGAGCACTACCTAAGGAGACAGTGACCAGGCTGTGTTAAAAGTTTATGAAGCCAAATGTCTTTGGTTTGGGGCTAAACACAGAAATAAAAGCAGCAATGGGATCTGTGGCTTTATAGCCATTTTATTTCAGGCTTAACCTAAAACTTGCTGAGCAGGTAATTGATTGTTCAGTGTGAATACTTCTCACCCTGCTTTTGGTCACAGGAAATCTGAGTTACTGGTGGAAGTTGTTGAAATATCTCTTAAGGTATTTGAACTTTGATCTGCAGCAAAACCTGGCATTTGAAGCAGAAAATGTCAGCATGTGTGCAGGGTACAACTGAGGCAGTGTCTTCTGTGAAAGATCTCTGAAGATTACTGATGCAGTAGCCCTGTCTGAAGGGGTTTTGGAAAGTGCAGAGTTTCCTGAATTGATAGAAAAAGAACAATTGGGTTCAGTTGTTAACTTGGATATTGGTGCAGCATGGCAGTTCTGCATTGCTGGAGTCAAAGGTTGTTCCACCATCTCTACAACGATGTGGTTTGCACCTGATGCCTGGCGCTTTGTGAATGCGTGGGATTCTTCTGGTTTTAGCTGGGCTATGTCTTATCTGAGCTACAGGAAGAGGAGGAAGAGTCCCAGGTGGCAGAAGTTGAATAGTCAAGATATGGAGCAGGGAGAAATAATGGGGGGGGGGGGAGTACAGGAGGGGAAGAAGTGCTGATTGTGTAGGGCTTGGACTGAGGAGCCGCATAGACCCTGTGTTGACTGAGGCAATCAGGGGGAGTACTGTAGCATTAAGGAGCTGTCTTGTGGTTGGGGAGTCGCACTGATAAATGAAGTACATTGCTTTATCTTCTTTCCCAGTCATTGCTGAATAATGCTGAGCTTTCCTCTTAGTTTTAAGGGTCTTGCTTACTGCTCTCTTATCTCCTAGGAGTCTTTCAATAATGTAAAACAGTGGCTGCAGGAGATAGACCGTTATGCCAGTGAAAACGTCAATAAGTTGTTGGTGGGGAACAAATGTGATCTGACCACAAAGAAAGTAGTAGACTATACAACAGCAAAGGTATGTTGATGTTAACGTGTTTGCTTAGTTGAGCATCTAATCTGGATTGTAACACACTTGAGTAAGTTCTAGTGCAAAGAAGTGTCTTGGTATGCAGATGCCAAGGTACCATAAATGCCAGCAGCTCACTGACCCCATGCAATGCGAGTCTTCATCAGGCTGGAGCCTGGGAATGGGGTGGTGGTATTGGAACTTGCAGCTTACCCAGCGGTGCCCCAGGAAACCAGGTGAGGTACGAAGCAGCGTGTGAGCTCACTATTCACTGTTTTTTGATTTGCAGGAATTTGCAGATTCTCTTGGAATTCCGTTTTTGGAAACCAGTGCAAAGAATGCCACAAATGTAGAACAGTCTTTCATGACCATGGCTGCTGAGATTAAAAAACGAATGGGCCCCGGAGCGACAGCTGGTGGTGCAGAGAAGTCCAATGTTAAAATTCAGAGCACTCCAGTCAAGCAGTCTAGTGGAGGTTGCTGCTAAAACTCGCCTCCCCCCTTTTTGTCTCACAACAATGAATTTGCAATCTGAACCCAAGTGAAAAACAAAAAAATTGCCTGAATTGTACTGTATGTAGCTGCACTACAACAGATTCTTACCGTCTCCACAAAGGTCAGAGATTGTAAATGGTCAATACTGACTTTTTTTATTCCCTTGACTCAAGACAGCTAACTTCATTTTCAGAACTGTTTTAAACCTTTGTGTGCTGGTTTATAAACGTGTAATCCTTGTTGCTTTTCCTGATACCAGACTGTTTCCTGTGGTTGGTTAGGATGTATTTTTGTTTTGATGTTTCTATTGGCATGTTTAGATGTCAGGTTTAGTCTTCTGAAGATGAAGTTTAGCCATTTTGTATCAAACAGCACAACAGTGTCTGTCACTTTCCATGCATAAAATTTAGTAAGATATATGTAAGATCTGATTTGCTAGTTCCTTCTTGTAGAATTATAAATGGAAAGATCACACTATCTGATTAATAGTTTCTTCATACTCTGCATATAATTTGTGGCTGCAGAATATTGTAATTTGTTGCACAATATGTAACAAAACTGAAGAAAATGTTTAATAAATATTGTACTTATTGGAAGTAATATCAAACTGTATGGTGATAAATATTGTCTTAATTTGTATGGCTAAGGGGGAAATCAGGCTTGCATTGTGCACAAAACGTATCTGTGTGCAGCCATGGCGCTCAGACCTCCTAGTAGACCAGAGCCCTTCCTTGCAAGTGAAACTAGTGACTATGGCCCAAAAGACTGAGTGGTCATGGTGCTTAAGGCACATCTGCTGTACCAGAAGCACCCAGCCAGTGTTCAGGGAGGCATGATGCACTCTGAATGTACAACAGTTCCCTAACTTGGTCTTGGAACTTAATTTATTTCTCAAGGACTCTACTTAGGGAATTCCTGTCTGCTTTGCATAGCAAGGGTAGAGAACAGCATTTCCCTAACATGAATGACTTCAATGTAACCTTGAGGTGGTATAACTTTCTACCAGTATATTATGTCTTTTCTATATACTGTTGATTCCATCCTCTTCTAATCAGTCCATTTCTGACTTAGTGCAACAGCTTAGCTTCTATTCTGTTACGCATAGAGGCACCAGAAGGATGCAGTGGGACAGGAACCCCCACCCCAGCCTGTTCCTCAAAGTAGGCGCTATCTGGAACAATTTGGAACTAACCAGCAGCCAGGAGGTTTTGGACAGTGTGTGATTCTTTGTACAGAGCTAATCAAATCATTAGTGCCTGATGTCTAGCTAAAAGCCACAGGAAAGCTAGCCTATAACACTTCCTATACATGTAAAATTGTTCAGCTTTATCTAAACTCCGATGTTCAGCCTGTTCTGTAAATAGTCTCATGTTTGAAAGACCATGTAACATTCCCCTAGTAGTAAATACACCCTGTGATAGTAAAAACAAATATAGCCTAGGTATGTTGTGAGGTATAAACTAAAACTGGTGCAAATATCCTCTGATTTTTTTTTGGGGGGGGGGTGACTTTGGCTAACAGCTTTCTTCAACATAGTTGCATAAATCAACAGGCAATTGTAATACATGAAGTATTGTCATGGTTAAGTTGAACTCTTCCACTTGAGACCTTCACAATAAAGTGATGTGCTTTCTATTAGAGATGTGCTTGTTGGTATAATTCATTATACAATGTGACTTGCTCCTCCTTGGGAGCAGGAGCAGTAGGAGTAGTGAGTGCTGCCAAGATCAGGGAGTGAATCAGGAGGAGGTGTGTTGAGGGTAAAACATCTTCCCTGCAGAGAAGTGCACAAATGAACTTAAATGTCGAGATGCCTGCTACATACTATCCAAAACAATGTTAATATATACAGTAATAAAAGCATTGCAAAACCAGCTTGGGCTACACCAGTTGTTTGGTGGTTATTTTTTGTCCCTAAGTCATTACTAAGTTACTGTGGTGGTGTTATGAAATGCTAGAGCCTGCAGAGGTCAGGCTTGGAGGTGTGTGGAAGAGGGCAGAGCAGAGAGAGAAACCTGGAACAAAGGCACTGTTGTATTTTAACCTGTGAGCTCAAATGTGAAGTGTTTAAGCACTGCTCTGAGTGCCCATGGGTATGGGACCTGGGGTTGGCAAGGCCAGTGAGACCAGTCGTGCTGTAGCCATTTGCTTGAGCCTTTCTGCTGAAATTTAGACTCATAGAATTGTTTGGGCTGAAGAAACCTTAAAGCTCATCCAGTTCCTACTGCTGCCAAGGGCAGGGATACCTTCCATTAGACCAGGATGCTCCAAGCCCTATCCAGTATGGCCTTGAACACTGCCAGGGATGGGGCAGCCACAGCTTCTCTGGGCACCCTGTGCCAGGGCCTCACCTCACCTGATGCTGTTCTTTGAGTTGTCACCTGCATCTTGGCAATAAAAAACATTGTCCTTTTTTAAGCTGAGGAGGTGGAAGAGGGGAGAGTACCATAAAGACCCCACAAGACTCAGTAAGTTACCTGTCATTTGTAACTGCTTCAGTTTGTGCTTGTGCAGCGCAGAAACTTCATGTTGTTCTGCTCACAAGAATGGGAGGAAATTACATCTTCTGCACCAGAACATGCTGATCACCATTGAGTTGAAAGGTTAATTTAAGCCAAATACCAACATTCTAGAGTTGGCTCTAACTCTTCGAGCGTTTACTGCTCTCATTCTGCCACTCAAGGTGCCTTTTTCTGTTGCAGAAAGGGTTTGGAGACTTTTTGTGACTGTTATGTGAACAATGATGAATTACACTAGCTGCAAGAGGGGAAGGGCAAGAGCTGCACCTAGGGACCCCAGCACAGCATCAAGACCACTACTGCAAGTTAACAGCAAGCAGCAGTTTATGCATAACCTGTTCTCCCCTGAGGGTACTCACCTGATTATTACTAAGATTCCTATAGTATATTGGCTGTTTGTGTTTATGCCTAAGAAAGCTGGAAGTTCAATAGGCTCTGCTTCAACAGGAATCAGAATAGTTAGGGTTGGAAAGCACCTTAAGATCATCCAGTTCCAAGCCCCCTGCCATGGACAGGGATGCTTCACTTTAGACCATGTTGGCCAAGCCCTGTCCAACCTGGCTTTGAACACTGCCTGGGATGGAGCATTTACCACTTCTCTGGGCAACCCATTCCAGTGCCTCACCACCCTCACAGTAAAGAACTTCTCCTTACATCCAGCCTGAACTTCCCCTGTTTCAGTTTGAACCCATCACCCCTGGTCCTGTTGGTACAGCCCCTGAAGAATCCCTCTCCATCAGGGACTGTGGCTAAGTATAAACAAGGGTTCCATTTGCTCCCAAGATGCAGGAGGAGTTGCTATTTCCTGGCTTCTCACACCTATTTCTGAAGATCACAAACCAACCATGAGACCACAGCTATTCAGATCACACGGCTTTACTTAGGAGTGAGTTTCACGGCACACGGTGGATTACTCAGTGACAAACGGCTGTGTTCCTGACGTTCCTGCTAACACACGGAACAAAGCCACTTCGATTTCAAACCCCACGAAAGCTACATTAAAAACCAAACCCCCAAAGGCCAGCTGCACATTCCTCACTCGCACAGCCATGGACTACACCCCCCAGCAGCCAGGTAACTGCTGTACAGCTTGCCCTTCTCAAGCCACAGTAAAGACCCAGCACAAAATCAGCCCCAGCTGGTTAACTCCCGACACAGTGCTCGTATGTGTTTTGGCGTCTCTGCAGGAGGGGAAGGAGGTGCTTTGGTGCTTGCTGCAGCTCTCAGCCATCCCGTGCCCGGCTGACCAAGGCCAGGTCTGATAGAGGCAGCACCTGAAATGAAATGGATTAAGTATGCTACTGTGCTTTGGCTGCAATCCAACAGCAAAAGAAAACACCCGTGCTGTACTTCCTTAAATCACCTCCAGAGCTGCTCACTAGTGAGAGGATATAGCTCTCATAGAGGTACATTTAGCAATTAGACTATCACAGAATAAGAGAATGGTCTTGGTTGAAAGGGAGCTTAAAGCTCATCCAGTTCCAACCCCTGCCATGGGCAGGGACACCTTCCGCTAGACCAGGTTGCTCCAAGCCCTGTCCAACCTGGCCTTGAACACTTAAGCTATTGTTGGTCTCTAAAGTGCTGGAAATACCATTTCCCTTTTGTAACTCCGAATGTTAAGGCGTGCCATGGAGCAGGCTGTGGGGATGTCAACAGCCTGAGGTAACGGGGTGGCCAAGGTTATCCTGCAGTTCCGAACTTCCTGTCTTTGGGTGCTTCGGAGCTGCCCTTCCTGTGCTTTGGCCCCAGCGCCAGCACCCATGAGTGTTCCGTTCCGTACAGACAGGGTTAACAGTGACTCCCATGGCAGCACACAGCTGGTGGTGCCTCTGCCCGCAGACACCACGTACCAATGCCACCCCTGCACCCCTGCTGTGCCCTCTGGAGATGCTTCTGCCTCTGTTTTAGTCAAAAGAAGATGGTCAAGAAATCACAGTCATTTAGGTTGGAGAAGACCTGTAAGATCAACCAAGCCATCCTAACACAGCCAAGCCCACCACTAAACCATGCTCCCCAGCACCAGATCTACACGGCTTTTATGTACCTCCAGGGATGGTGACTACACCACAGCCCTGGGCAGCCTGTTATAGTGCCTGACAACCCTCTCTGGGAAGCAACTTTTCCCAGTATCCAGTCTAAGCCCCCCCTGGAGCACCCTGAGGCCCTTTCCTCTTGTCCTATCACTTGCTACACGTGATAGGACACTTGCTCCATCTCCTCCTTTCAGGCAGTTGTAGAGAGCAATAGCATCCCCCAAGCTGCCTTTTCTGCAGGCTAAACAAACACCCGCAGGTCCCTCAGCTGCTCCTCACAACACTTGTGCTCCAGGCCCTTCACTGCCCTTTGGATACACAACCAGCAAACAAGTTTTCTAGCCCCTTTTACACCGGGATTCACTTGCTCCCCCTTCCCGCTATGGCACAGCAAAGCAGAATGGTTCTGAGGAAATAACATCCCCCCCCACCCCAAAATACCCCTTTCTGGTCTTCCCTCTGCTGCCCAGCTGATTCCAACCCTGACTGACAGTGACCTCCCCGCTCCCTGCACCCCTCCGAGGAGCTGCCACCGCTCTCATCGTGCTCTTGGGTTTCACCAGCTGGGTCAGCACCACGCCGCCCTTCCCTGACACACATGTACAGAGCATGGGGCATCCATTCTGAGCTCCCCCTTGCTCTCTTCCCCTTCTCGGCTCTCCAAGCATCAGACTGACAGGAATACTAACGAAGCCTGATGTATGGTGTTTGCCTATTTAGGTGTTTATCTTCCCCCCTCTCCCCCTGCCTCCGAAGGCTGGTCCGCCCCTCCTTACCCACTGAGCAGCCGTCTGCTGCACCCCCTTGTCCTCCATCCCATCCTCGCCCTGCATGGGACCCACAGCAGCTAGAACGGACTCGTACAGGTGCTCTGCGTGGGTTTCCAGCTCTTCTGACTGCTTCGCAATCAACCCCAGCGTGTCCTTCAGAACTGGAACACAGGAATGTATGAATGGAGGTGGTAGTAATGTGAGAATTCCATGTCTGTAAGCACAGGGAGAGCGTTCCACTCACCTGGGCAGGCTTTGGAAGGAAATGTGCTAGAAATCACTAAGCTGATCTTCACCCCCTCCAAGATGTGATGCAGAGCTTGGAAAGGGTGGAAAGGGAGCTGGGAGGCTCCAGGTTAAGAGGGAAGATATAGAAATAGGGCCTCCTAAAGGAGACCTTTGGGTCTGTGCCAGAAAGCCCATCCCCTAATGCAGCACTGAGCCACTAAAGCCCCTTTGGTGACTGCAGATGCAGCCAACCCTTCAGAAACGCGTTAGGCAGGATGCACCAGGTCACTGGAGCGGCTGCTCCATGCGTGCCATGCCACAGCCTGGGATGCACCAAGTGCAAACAGGGTGTGAAATCACCCCTCCTGCAGCAGGCCAGAGCATCTCCCAGCTGCAGGCTGACAGCATCCCACAGCCCAGTGGCCATGCTGTAGTAAAGATAAAACCTAAGGGACCTATAAGAGAGCAAACACATCCATCACCCACAGTGGATGGCACAGCACAAGGCAAGGGTCACGGCGTGGTGCAGCTGTAAGTTACCACTTCAAACCCTTGAGACATCTCAGCTCCAAGTCTCCAGACAGCAATGGAGATGTAAGCGCCCTTTTCCCATACAGCTGCTGAACAGCAAGCTGTGCCCACTGCTTCAACACACGTGGGGCCAGGGATTCTGTGGGGCAGAGGCTACGGCCAGCATCACAGCTGTGTCCCTGGCCCCTGCTCAGCTGCTCCTCCTCACCTGGTGAATTCAATGCCATGCAGTCAAGGAGAGCTTCTCCCTTCTCCAGCACGCTCTCTGTCAGGCTCCGGTGCTCGGCCACGTCCTTCCTGAACTCCTGCGAAGGACAGGAGAAGGGGGCGCTGCTTATAAGGGTGTTTGGAAGAGACACACGTACTGCAGGCTGCCCAGGGAGCAGCTTCCCACATCCAGCTCTGCATGCCCAGCGCATCCCACATCACCTGCCTGGACCATGCCAGCACTGCAGAGGGGGAAGAAAAGCCAGGGGTGATGCCTACCAGGCAGCGGTGCAGCGATGCCTTCATGCTCTTGGCATCCGGCAAGGGTGGTACCCAGCTGTCAGTGATGTCCACAACATTGTACAGCCAGCGGATCAGCTCCTCCAGCTGGCAGCAGAACATCTGCTTAACAGAGCACAACAAAAGGGGTTATTGATCTGTTCCTGCAACAGAGACACAGCAGGGACAGGAATAGGTGAGCCCACGCTGTTTTGGAAAGTGGCTGTTCTCTGCTTCTCTGCTGTCCTCCCATTCACACACATAAGCATCCCTAAACACTCCCACTGAAACCAGACTGCAGCCCTACTCCTGCTCCTCGGGAGTCAGGAATTTGCTATAAAGCCTAGCTACTTCCCCCTGGAACCATGATTTGAGGTGGGACAGATACACCCTGATGCTGACAGTATCAGCAGAGTTATCCCCATGCAAGAGGAGGGGATGAGCTGCCCTGGTGCTTGCAGATGTGCGCAGGATAATAACTACTTTCCAGCCAACAGTCCACCAGGGCTTCCCAACGCAGCGCAGGGCTGGGGTGAGGAAGACAATGGAGGGGAAGGTGGGGAGCACGGCCCCAGTGGAAGGATAGCACTGAACAGTGGGAGTGATGGGGCAGGCAGCAAACCCTGGGCTCCACAGCAGCCCCAGCTGCAGCTCCGGCCTCCTCCCTGATGCAGCAGTGCTGCAGGATGAATGGGCTGTGGGAAGCTGATCCCCCCAGGAGAAGTGAGCTGGGCTCTGCTCCATCAGAAGGAATCATCTGCTCCAGTGAGCCCCCCCTGCATAAATTACACCCAGCTGCCAGGCACCAAACACCATGCAGAGGGGAAGCCTTAATGAACTGTGCCATAAACACAGGCACATGTGAGAGCTCCCCATCATAAACCCGGTTTCTGGTCTCAGCCTACCTTAACGCACTGGGCAAGGGACTCGCTCTGAAGGCTCTTCTTGGGATGCCCCTTGACCCGTGGTTCATTGAGGTACGTCCCATCCAACGTGTCTCTGAGACCAGTCGGTAGATAAAGCCCCTGCAAAGGATCCCTATGGATGCGGCCGCATAATCCAGTGTTTTCCTGGCTGGACTTCCGAGAGCCGCAGGGGTGCCACAGCCCAGCGTATCCCTCGAAACCCCCTCTTCCATCCCTGCCACCTGCTCCTCCGAAAGGAGCCAACTGGGATGAAAGGGGCTTCCTGCTGTTGCTGTGACATGGAAGTTCATGATGGTCATGCCCAGGAGTCCTTACAGTTAAGGAAAGATCAGACAAGAACTGAGCCAGCCTTTCCAGCTCCAGCAGTCTGGGAGGCAGGGAGAGGAATTCTTCATCACCGTCCCACTCCTTCCTCAAGGGGAGCACTGCCGTTGTAGGTAAAAACCCACCAGTGCTTTTCGCCTGCCCTTTGTCCTTTGGGAAGGGGCTCCCTCTGGTGCACCAGCTCCTCCCATCCGCAGCAGGGCGGCCAAATGAACCCATCCCAGCTGACTCCGTGGCTCCATCCTTAGCAAAGCCTCTTGAAGGATGAGAGGAAGCACTTCTTGTGGAGGATGCTTTTGCAGTAGGTAAAGGTTCATAGGATGAGAGGCCCCTTTTCCCAGGCTCCAGGGTGGGGAACCTCTCTGCAGAGCCCATGAACCCCCAGCGTCCACTTTCTCTGCCTCCCTGAGCCTGCCCACCTCGGCCATAGATGCTGGTGGACCTCGATGTGCCCTCAGGGGAAAGAGAAAAGCTGTCCAAACCTATTCCCGAGTCGTGGAAGAAAGGGTCTGGCACCTTTCCCAGCTTGTATTTTGGCTTCAGTGGATAAGCATAATCCAGCAAGTCCTCATATTCCTTATTGGGGTTCCAATGGGGCGAGCGACGGTCTGGAGACGGGGGCAATGAATCTGGTAGGGCGCATGCCCAGTAATCAGCCTGATAGGATGACATCCCCCCGATGCGCTGCACGGCGCTGCGGTAGTCAAGCAGAGCACTGAAGGGCTCGTGCACCCGCAGCGCCCTGCCTTGCGCTGCTCCCCACCGGCGGCACAGGTCCCGGGTGGCGCTGGCAGGGGAAGGCACATCCACGCTGGCCGGGAAGCTCCGGGATGGCTCCTCGGAGAGGCCGTGCTCTTCTGAAGACAGAGCGGAGCAGCTCGATGCGGAGCGGCTCTGCAGGGTGGTCCTGGGGCTCGGCGGGGTCTGAGGCTGCAGGAGCTCCATCGTGGAGGAAAGCGGGGACTGAGCCCCAAGCCTTTGGCTCTGCCGGCCGGCAACGTGGCAGCTGCCAGCAAGGATGCTCTCCCCTGCAGAGCTGGGAGGGCCGGACACTGGCTCCCAACAGCCCGATGCCTTCACCTGCTCCAGGGTGGGGGAAAAGAGAGATGTATAAAATGAAGCACAGAATCCAGACAAAGGCTCCTTTGTGCTAGGTATGGAGATGAAAGCCCAGCCCTGGACCTGCTGCAAGGAGAGGCTGGAAGGGGAGCTCTGTTCCGTCTGCAGGATGGCATGCAGCTGCCTGAAGCCTGCAGTACGGCTTGTTTTTAAGGAAAGGCATCCCGAGGGCTTGGGAAGCTGCACAAGTCATTTGGCAGCAGGAGGCACTTATTTAAGGAGCCCTGTTCCAAGTGACTTCCCAGCTCCGCAATATGGGAATGGAGGCAATGGCTCTGGTGTTGGAGCCCAAGCCCTTCCCCAGCACAAGGCTTAGCCCAGGGCACGCTCTGGGTGCAGGAGGGGGAAAGCCCTTACTAGGACAGACCAGACACACACCAGTCCCCACCTCACCTGGGACCTCGTGGTGATGCAGCAACACCCGTATGTACACCCCGCAGCATCACCCGTATGTACACCCCCCTCACCTGCTGCTCCTCCGAGGGCAGGAACCGGTGTCTAAGGTGACGAGGCGCATCCCCGCTGTCGGTGACTCCACAGATCAACGCCTCTGTCTCCAAGAGGCCTTCCCCTGCTCTGGGGAGCCTGGATGCGGATGCTGAAGACACTTCCCGGCGGTAGCTCGAGCCTCCCTGGGTAACACCAGCGGCCAAGCGGCTGTGCCCGCTCAGTGCCACGCTGTCCATCCCCTGCGGGCAGGGCTTGGCCTGCTCTGCCCCTGCAACCCGGCACAGGCTGGGTGCGAGCTCTGGGGAGTCCATCTCCACCTCTGCACAGTCCCACCGACCGCTGCTCTCGGCCTTCCTGCTCAGGGAGGCTTCGGAAAGTGATTTTCCCACATCGACAGCCATTGGGACGGGATGGTGCCAAGCCTCAGGCTCTCTGAAACACACAAGACACGGTAGCAGCACTCACTGGAGGCCCTTGTCTCCATGCCGAGTAAAGAAACTGGGTACGTCTAATAATGAAGGGATAAAGCATTCACTGAGACCCTAATATTGCACCTTGGGCATCAAGTGGGACAGAGGACAGAGCAAACTTTTGTGTCTCAGCAGCATTTCCTGGTTTTGAGGACATGACACACAGGGAAAACCCAATTAAAGCTCTGGCTGCACTGAGACCAAACCTGTGCTTCAAACCTCGCTGGCACAGCGCGACTGTCTCCTGGATCGATGGCCAATCTCACAAACAGCTTGTACCCCATGAGGTAACTGGGCCCAAATGAGACACTTTAGGGTGGCTGAGCCCTGAAGGCTGTTGGGATGGAAAGCTGAGGGGGTTTTAAGAGGCAAACTCAAAGCCTTGAAATGGAAACCACCCAGCAGTGAGAAGTATATATAAAAAATAAGAGGGGGAGGCAGGAGGCTGCAAAACCCAAACTGGCACTTGGCAGCTTCGAGCTCGGCTCATGGAATTAACTCCTTGTGCAATTTGCTAATGGAAAGACTCGCTCAACCAGTGACACATTTTCAAGCCCGCTGCATCTTGCTGCAGAACCTTCTAACATGGGACATGATTCTCAAAGCTGAGCCCTAAGTGCTCTGTGCACAGAGATGCTCCACCACCACCTCCCACTGGCCTCCAGTGAGGAGCTGCAGCAGAGCCAAACCAAGGAGACCCAACAGATCTTGTTTAGTGAACACCAGAGCCGAGCACCTCTGCTTGCGTTCTCCAAGCCAGCAGGACCCAAAGCCACTCTCAACATAAGTGACACCCTATGGGCTACCCACAAAGCACCAAAACCGGCACTGGCAAGATCCCCTCCCCACGCTCAGTCGCATCCTCAGAGCGCTGGCAATACCAAAGCTTCTTTCGGCACCTCCAGCCCAAAGCAGGGTGCTGGCATTAGGAAAACACTGGCAGAGTGGTTTTGCTGCCAGTGCCAGGGCACTGATGGAGAGGCAGCAACAGGAACGTCAACAGCAAACTCAAATAAAGAACAAAAAGAAGGAAGAAGAGTATTCCCAGACAACACCTGGAAATGGGAAAGAAGCTGGTACTCACATCCTCCATTAGCTGCTGTCACCATCTCGGTTTATGATCCCACCTCCCGGAGACTGGGCCTTTCCCATGGGCAGAGCCCATGCACAGAACAAAGAGCAGCAGGGCCGTGCCGGGTCTCCAGGGGAGCCCGAATCCCGGCTCCGCAGCTGCCTTCCCCTCCCCGAGACCCACAGCTATATTGAGCATGGCAGCAGCTGCGGAGAGGGAGAGTGAAGCCTGGGCTCCCCCAGCCCTCCATGCAAGCCTCTGCTGATACCTGGACTCAATTGCTCCATCACTTCGGTCACTACCGAACAACCCTACACACACCACGTTATCCCAAGATCAATGGCATTGCTCTCTTTTCCCCCCAAAGAGGTTGTATATCCAAACAAAAAGGCGTGCTGACTGCAGTAAATGTAATTGATAATCCCACCCCTGCTAAATTACCTACATATTATACAACAGTGTATCATTAAAATGCGTGTAAGCATATAAAACTTGTTCAACAGAAGACAGATTTCTGATGGTAACAGAAAGAGGATCCCAAACCACTCAGGAACCCATGAGTGTTTCCCACACAGCACGTGTATGATTTCTTCACATATCCATCATAGAGACTGTTCGGGCCTGAGGTCTGAGCCCCCGCAGGCAGCCCCTGTTACCTGTCAGCCTTCACCACCTCCTGTTTGGTCCCTCTGAATCAGTTTTGTTTAAACAGCCAGGCAAGCAAATATCAGTGAATCAAAGACCAAATCCAACTTACAGGTGATTTAAATGCCCAGAGAACCCCCTGAGATATATTTACTGGCTTTGAAAGCCAGGGCCTTGGCCACAAGGAGAAAGGATGCTCGCTGGTTGGATACCTCCCCTTCCAACCAAAACCTAATGAGCAAAATGCCACCAGGATGATAAATCACCTGGCACCACATATTCAATGCCAGGATCCATTTCAAAGCTTTAAATTCACCATTTTGGGTGCTTTCCCCTGTGACAAGCAGTGATTCAGCAGAGAACATCACTAATTACCATTACATGAACAGGCATCTCAGCAGCTCTAATCCCTCCTTGCACATACCTGGCAGCGCCGTACATCCAAAAATGACCCAGTAAATAGAAACCTTAACAAAGAGGAGGGTGCTGGGCACCCGTAGCTTAGGACATAAACACCTCAGCAATCAGTTCTGTTGTTGGGCAGTGATTTAAAAAGATGTGGAAAAGGAAGAAAAGCTTAACAAGGCGTCAAATTAAAGTTTCAAACCGAATGTGCAGTAATTAACACTCAACCACAGCACATCTTTACCTTTAAGATGGTGCCACGTTAAATTCAAACATCATTACTTCCAACAGATGTAGTGGCTTGAGTCATGTTGCCAGCCCAGTAAAAACAACTATAAACCAGATCTAAGCTTAACCATAAATCTAAACAGCGTGTGTGAAACAACACTAGAAGTAATTACAGGTCAGAACCCAACTGTTATTTCTGCAGCTGTTTGCAGGAGCGCAGAGGTTGGACTCATCTGAACTGTGAGGGCTGTCTGTTGATCTTATGGAGGCAGCACTGCAGTGATGCACACTTCTATGAGGCCATCAGTCATTAAAGTGCTGCTTCGCAGGTTCATTAAATCTCCAGAAGCTAATTGGAAGCTAAAGAGAAACCAGGAAACCTGCCAATACACAGGAGCGAGAGTAAATCTGCTCCTTTCAGAATAAGGCACTCAAAGGGATGCCAGAGATTGTGCTTGTTTTTCAAAGCCCCTAACTCAGGCAGCTAATTTCAACTCATTTCAGAGGGAGGTGGACACACTTGGATGCAAACTGCACGGGGAAGTCACGCACACCCCATACACAGAACAAGCAAAGAGTCCTATTTAAAACCAAGGTGAAACCGCTCATGCCACGCAGTGCACCTCCCAGCTACACAAGCTCGCATCGAATGAGGTTTCTCACCATTCTCCACCAAACCCACTCCATCTCAGAGGTCCATTGGCGGTGCCGCACCGAGGTTAACCCTCACGCCAGGGAGAAGCAAACCCCAATCCTCGGTCGGGACAGGCACTGCTCTGACGAGGGACGTGCGACCACAGCCTTGGGCACGGCGGAGACTTTCCACTGCCCTTAAACCCAAGGGAGCCCAGCCAGAAATCCCGGCTACACCCGAGCCCTCCCCATTGTCTCCCCAGCGCCGGGGCGGCACAGAAACACAACCCGCGACTGATAAGAAACAAGACAGTGGCCGTTTCATTCATTCCAATGGGAGAAGGTCCACAGGGAGCCCTCCAGGAAAGCGATCCCCCTACTCTTCCACGTCACCAGAAGCCGCCTGCCAAAGATCCACACAAAACCCAGTGGACAACACAGGCTCTGTCCCAGCCAGAGACCTCCCTTTGCCCGTGGGCATCATCCCTTGGCGGGTAGACTCCAACAAGGGCAGAGTCTGCTGATAGAGTTTCTGTCTCCCACCAGTTTTCTTGCAGTTTGGGGTCTGTCCTGGGGGGAAACCACACCGCTCGTGCCTTTCAGGCCTGCGGGGTGTGAGGTTTGGTACTTTTTGCTCCTTTTCTGACATGCTTTCTGCCCGAAAAGCCTTTCCAAAGCTGAACACTCACATATTAAACACGACAATTCCGGCACAAAGGCAACAAGCGGCGCAGGCACCGCACCCTGGGTGCCCTCAACTGCTGGCGGCACGGACAGAACGCGCTGTAGGTAACGGGGACGGGCTTCCCAAGAGAGAGCCGCCCGTTCTGCCCCCTCCCGCACACCGGAACCCCCGAGCGGCCCCAGCGGCGCCCGGAGCCGTGCCCGGCCTGGCCAGGCCCCCCCATTCCTCCCCGGGGACAGCCGCCGCCACCGCCACGCCCCGGCCCGCACCTACCGAGCGGCGGCCCCGCCGCCCCGCCCACCGCAAGCGTCTCAGCCAATGGGAGCGCGGGGTTCTACGTCACACAGGGCGCCCCTGGGGCGCGGCAGCCAATGGGAGCGCAGCGTGGCGCTGGGGGCCCGCGGCATGGCCGGGACTGACCCGGGGCTGGGTTCTCTTCCGGCCCCCGGCCGACCTGGGGCGGAGCGCAGGAGCCACCGGGCACCGGGGGTGGGGAGCTCCGGGCGCTGGTGCCGGAGCAGCGTCACCTCCAGTGCCCTTGAGGAGCTATGGCAGCGTCAGGGTGCCTCCGTTACCCGGTGCACTGCCCTTCCCCTGCCGAGCCGTGCACCGGCAGCCGCTGCCCCGCTCCCCGCGGGGTTCTTGAGTGGGAAACCACCTACAAGTGGTGCTGCATGGGCAATGGCTGTACGTGCGACGGGAAATGGATTTTAGCATCCTACAAGGACAAGGCAAAGTCCATGCAGCCCGCTCCAAGAGCTTCCTCCAGTGCAGCAGAGGGGGTCTGGTTGAGGACCAGGCTGTGAGCGTGTTCTGGGGCTGCCCATCGGGTGCCAATGGTGCCTGGCATGCCAGAGCAAACTTTACAGTTTGAATGTGCAGTAATTAATGGTTGACTGCGGTACCTCTATTTCTAAGAAGATGCCACATTAAATACAAAGTGATGTTGAGCATAATTACCTCCGTTAGGCTGGAGGTTTACCCGGCTTTCTGGGTAAATTCTCACACCACAGGTTTGAAATAGGCTGCTCTGGGGTTCTACCTGATCTTTCTTTGGTGGATGGAGCACCCAAACTTTTGGGCTTGCTTGCGTCCAGAAGCTGGTCCTGGTTTTTATCTGCATCACCTACTCCTGGGGCTTGTTTCTTAGGTAACGCTGAGATTTCCTGGAGGTAGGTTATCTGATAAAGCAATCTATGAACGACATTGCTGCCAGCTTTAGGCTCTGAAGGACCAAAGAGACCTCTCAGGTTCGCTCAGGTAGGTATCCCAAGTCTCTGGCTACTGCTGCTGGCCACGCTGCTCACCCGTGCAGCATGCTCCAGTCTGCCACCCTGTGTGTTATAGTCCAGATTGCCAGCTGCTGTGACACAGGTTTACTCTACTGACCTCAATGGAACCCAGCCCATTTACCATCCGGGACGACCTTCTTTATTCTCTTTAAAGGAACAGAGAGTGGGAATATCAGACTCAGGGCTGCTTCAAAAAGCAGAGCTGTAATGCCACTGTGTAACATGGCACGGCGCTCTCAGCACAACTCACAGGCAAGGAAAAGCCCGCATCATCTCTATTCCGGCGCTAACAGTTGTGTATTTGGGGTTCCTTTGATGGAGCTCTTCCAGCTGCACATCCATCCCCCTGCCTCGGATGCACGCTTCTGAGAACTGGCTTTTCGTTGGAATTCACACATGCAGAGCCCCTGTGAAAGAGAAGTCCTTTCTGCTGTTGTTTATTGCTTATTCTCCAGGGAGCCGGTTGCCGCGCCGACTTCAGGCTGAAGCAAACACGGATAGGTCATGATTCATACCCGGGCTCGGCTGTTTTTAGCTGGTTTAAGTTACTCGCAAGCTGCCAGACATTGTTCTCGAAGCTGAATAGCGCTCGGCTGCGGGCTCAGCCCCGGCAGGAAAGGTTTGTGTCCTGTTCCGCCTCCGATCAAACGAGTGCCAGGATGTCTGCAGGAACAGCCAGGGCGACGCAGAATCGTTCCCCTCTCCTCGGGCTCACACTGGGAGGGTGTCAGTGAACAAAGGGGAATAAACTGGTGATCTAAAGGAGAGAGTCTTTAAAAGCTCAGGGAGCGCTAGTGGTTCTTTCCTGCTGACATCTGGCCTTCTTTGTTAGGAACTCCGCTGAAGAGTCACTAGGGTATTTGATCTATAGAGCAGGGTCAGACCCAGCCAAACTCCCACCCAAAGTCACTGAAGGCTGGCAAAGACTAATGGGTATTTTCTTGCTGATTTTAGACCTCAGGACTGTTTCAGACCTGTGTTTTTTAGCACAAAGGTTCCCCAGCAAAGACAAATTATTTCACCACATCTATGGATGCAATGGTTCAGCAGTAATTCAGCAGTAATCCCTACACCTATGATGTGAAGTAGAGCTTGCGTACAATGATCTCATTTGAAAGTGGCTCATTTCTAGTATATGTGAGAAGCTGGGATAGGAAGAATCTGTTCGTCAAAAAACTTCTACCTTCTTGGTGGGAATATCCATGTTTTTGTACAGAACCAGATCCATCAGGAGCACCAGCTGTGTGTATCCAGAGTTTTAATATGCTCATAACCAGTGTTATGCTGTTAGCCAGAACTTTTGGCACATCAGTTCGTAATTTGTTTCCACCTTGGATGGTCTCACACTACAAGCCAGACAGTTAATACTCTGCGATGAAACCTGAGGCCTGGACGTGCACCATATGCTCTTGAATAGCATCTACGCTATCTCTGGCATCAGATTTCAGTCTCACAATGCAAATGGTTGGGATGGATGAGATATCAGCAAATGCAGGGCATGGACCTGACCTATTTGTTCGCAGAGCATTGCTAGCCAGATTGCTAGAGTACTGCAGGGAACAGAAAATCTGGTTGTAATCACTTTGCCATCTCTTGGCGTTATCTGCGGGGAGGATTTGCCTGCATTTGGAAAACTGTCCCATTTCTGATGCTATGCCTCAGAGAGCAAGAGAGTTAATATTACATGGAACGTGTTAGTACACCTGCCTGTCTTCCAGTGTTATCATCCAGATGGGAAGGAGTCACCGCAAGCTGCCTTTGCTTCTGTTGGCTACACTGAAGTGTTGACTATTCCTCTCCTGTGTTAAAGCTGCTCAGGCACTGATTTGTAAAAATACCTATGTTGCAAGCCAACAGCAATGCATTCCAGCTCCATAAGGACAGCCTGGCTGGCAAACTCTCTCTGCTTAACCCCTCTCTCAAAGGTGGTTGCAGGGAGAGGTCCTTCTCCTCTTGAGGCTAACAGCCCTTTTCCCAAAAGTCAGGATTTCCACCTCTTGGACTGTTCTCCTTGTTCTCCTCTTGATTCTCACTCTTTGGGCCACATTTCTTTAATGCTCAACACCTAAATCTGGTCCAAAACTCCAGCATGGGCTTGGCTATAATTAGGCAAAACTGTTATGGTAGTCCAGGATGCATTCCTGTTTACACACCCTCATATAGTATCTGCCTTATTCATAGCATTGACTCATGCTTCCGACTGCCCTCAACTTCCTGCTCCTGCTCCTTAATCCACCATTTCCCACCAGTATTAGTGCAGTTACTCACATCTAGATCAATTTCCATGTTTCCCAGACCCTCTCCCAGTTCTTTTGTTGCTATGAATTTCAGCCCTGTGCTTTGCCATGTTTGCAGACCTTTTCTTCCAGGTGGGACCTGCAGATTTTCTCTGATCCAACATCTGTATCACTAATTCACTAATTATGGTCCTGGGCCTACAGAAGGCCCCTGAGGAATCTGGTCCTTCACCTGAACAGTCACTGTAGTAGTGTCTAAATAAGCAGGTTCAAACTGAGCCATGTTGCTTTAGTTTCTTCATAAGGTTATGAAAAGGTTCATTGAAAGCCTACAAACTTTCCCTCACTCTTGTAGAACATCATAGCTGCCACTGCGCTATTGCTACATATTCCCTAAAAAAAGGTAGCTGCTGCTTTTTCTTCCTGATTTTGGAGAAGCACCCGAAAATGAGACTGAAGCACACCCAAGGCAGCTGAACAAATGAAACATGTAAAGCAGGATTGATAAAGAACAGAGGGAAAACTAGAGTGACATCTATTTTAGTGCCAACATTGAAGTGCAGAGCAATGAGCTTCAGTGCCAGCAGCTGGGCAGCTTCAGAGCTTTATCATTCGGTTGCTCAGGTGGACAGAGCAGAAGGATTTAGCCCAAGAAAAAGCTCAA